TTTTTCTTATTGCTCACCAGAGGACACCATCATTCATAGAGGATTATATAAAGAGCGGCGCGTGAGATTAAAGGGTTTTTTTGGTTGTGGTCACGAGCTGGGCTGCTGTCACTTGGCCGTCGTCCGTTCCGAACGTTCCGAACATGGTGTCAGAAGCTGGTTAACGCCGTCACTATGGCGGAAAGTGAACCCCGTATCCAAGTGGTTCGCGTCGGAGCGTCGGGACTTCATCCTCCGGCTCCATTCACTTTCACCAGCCCGGCGGAATGGCCGACATGGATCGCGACTTATCAGGACTACGCCTTTGCAGCCGGTCTCGATACTGCCAGCGACGAAGTGCAGGTACGCACGCTCTTGTACTGCATGGGACCGCAAGCTCGAAGCGTCCTGTCATCGTTGGGAGAGCCAACTCCAGAGAGCCTGTCGTTCGCGGTCGTCAAAGAGAAGTTGGCCGGGCACTTCGTGCGTCCCGTCAACGAAATATACGAGAGTCGCCGGTTCCACTGTCGGACGCAAGAGCAAGGCAAGTCTGTCGACGACTTCTTCACGTCACCTCGTAACCTGGTCGAGCGCTGCGGTTACAATAGTGCGGACGTCGAAGACCGCCTGGTACGTGACAAATTCGTCGTGGGGTTGCGGGATGAGAAGCTCTCTGACCAGTTGTGTCGTTCTACGAGGCTCTCTGCAGAAGAAGCACTCTGTCAGGCCCGTGTTCATGAGGACGCCGAAAAAGAGCGGCTGTCACGCTCCAGCGTTGCCCGCGGGAATACCGCCCCCGAAAACCTGAACGTCGACACCGCGAGACGCAAGAAGATAGCGACCAGTCAATCGGCACGCTATCACGGCAAATCTGAGCAGTCCGCCAGTTCAACTTGTGAGTATTGCGGACGTCACCTTCACTTGCAGAAAGATTGCCCAGTGCGGAAATCGTCTTGCCATTTCTGCAAGAAGCAGGGCCATTTTGCAGAAGTTTGCAAAGCTAAGAAGAGAAAAGAACTCTTGGGCTCCGTGGAGCTTCACGCAGTCAGCACACGGCATGCAAGATACACCGAGGTGCGCGTGAATGGTCATCTTTCCCAGTTCAAAATTGACTCGGGTGCGGAGATCACCGTTGTTTCACCCTCTTTTCCGGGGCTTCCTATTGTCCTGGATGAAGCCGACGGCGAGGTGTCGGGTCCCGGCAACCTACGTCTGAACGTTCTGGGGACTTTCAAGGCTACCTTGGAGTGGCGTGGCAAGTTCACGGTCCAGCGTCTCTACGTCGTGCAAAATCAGCACACGTCTCTTCTCGGACTGCCTGCCATTGGAGCTCTGGGCGTTATTCAGTTCCTGGACTCGACGGAATACGTTCCATCAACTCAAGCCAAGATTTTTCAAGGCTTGGGGGAACTCCAAGAGGAGTATCACATCCGTCTCCAGCCGAATGTTCGTCCATTTTCTCTGAGCGTTCCAAGACGGATTCCAATCCCTCTGCTAGGTGTCGTGAAAAAGGAACTGGATGACATGGAGGCCCAAGGTGTCATTCGAAAAATCGACACGCCAACTCAGTGGTGTTCCGGTCTAGTCGTTGTTCCCAAACCATCAGGAGGGTACAGACTGTGCGTGGACTTGACAAAGCTGACTCAAGTGATTCAGCGAGAACGTTACGTCTTGCCCACTGTCGAATACATACTGGGTCAGTTGGGTGAAGCTCAGATATTTTCCAAGCTCGATGCTAGGTCCAGCTTCCATCAGGTGAAACTTAGTCGTGACAGTGAAGAGCTCACGACGTTCATCACTCCCTTCGGCCGGTATTGCTACAAGCGTCTTCCATTTTGCATCGCATCGGCACCGGAGTACTTTCAACGCCTGATGTCAAGACTTCTTGAAGGTCTCTCGGGTGTCGTCAACATGATTGACGACATTCTAATTTTTGGGAGGGATCGTCGCGAACACGATCAACGTCTGGCCGATGTCTTGAGTCGCCTGGAACAAGCTGGGGTTACACTGAACGAGAAAAAGTATGAATTCCGCGTCACCTCTGTCAAGTTCCTAGGCGTTGTAGTGGATGCCGAAGGAATTTCGCCAGATGCAGACAAGATCAAAGCCATCAAGAATTTGATGCCACCAGAAGATATCAGCGGTGTACGCCGGTTGCTTGGGATGGCTAATCACATCGGACGGTTCATTCCACACCTTGCTGACGTTACCACACCAATTCGCTCTCTGTTAAACAAGAACAGCGTCTGGATGTGGGGTCCTAGCCAAGAGGAGGCTTTCGCCCGCCTCAAGTCACTGCTTAGCTCTGAAACATGCATGGCAAAGTACCACCCGCGCTACCCTACCGTAGTATCTGCAGATGCCAGTTCTTATGGTTTGGGAGCCGTGCTGCTTCAAGAGCAACCTTCGGGGACTCGGCGGGCTGTCGCCTTTGCTTCCAGATCCCTCACTCCCACGGAGGGTCGTTACAGTCAAACGGAGAAGGAGTCTCTAGCCGTAACGTGGGCCGTCTTACGGTTCGACCAGTATATTCGTGGTCTGAACTTCGAGGTCGAGACACATCACCTTCCTCTTGTCGCCCTTCTCGGAGGAAAGGACCTGGAGCTTTTGCCACCGCGGGTGCAACGCATGCGAATCAAGCTGATGCGTTATCAGTACAACATGAAGTATGTACCGGGAAAGCTCTTGGCGACTGCCGACACACTCTCACGAGCACCTTGTGACGCGCCAGCTTCGAAAGAAGTAGGGAGTGTGGAACTCTTCATTGGCGAAGTCTTCAAAGACATGCCGCCAGCGGTGGCGAGTCGACTGGAAGACGTCCGCCAGCACCAAACGCAAGATGGGGAGTGTTCCATGGTTGTAACTTACTGTGGAAGAGGTTGGCCCAGCAAAAACAAAGTGCCAGCTCACATTGCTCCATATTGGAAAAAGAGAGAATGATTGAGCGTCTACAAAGGCGTACTACTTCTAGATCGCCGCATCGTCATTCCGTCCGCTCTCCGACAGAGTATCCTGGCCTTACTGCACGAAGGGCACCAGGGCGTTCGCCGCTGTCAAGAACGCGCCAGAGAAAGCGTTTGGTGGCCGAACTGCAATTTACACATCGAACATCTTGTAGCCGAGTGTGCCAAATGCGCCGAAACCCGTGTGGTACACTCTGAGCCGATGATGCAGACTCCAACACCAGAAAGACCGTGGCAGCGCCTCGGGATAGACCTTTTCCAGCTAAAAGGACGTGATTACGTTCTGATTGTAGACTACTACTCAAGGTTTCCTGAGGTCATCTCTCTCGGATCTACATCTGCGCAAGCAGTCATCTCGGCTGTCAAGAGTTGCATGGCTCGCTATGGGATCCCGGACGTCGTGCGGTCAGATAACGGGCCGCAGTTTGCATCTCACGAGTTTGCAAACTTTGCTCAGGCGTACGGATTTCGCCATGAGACTAGCAGCCCGCGGTACCCCCAGAGTAACGGCGAAGTAGAGCGTATGGTGCGTACCGTGAAGGACTTGTTCGCAAAAAGTTCTGATCCGTACCTGGCCCTCCTAGCGTACCGAGACACACCTGGTAACAATGGCGTGTCTCCTGCACAGTTGTTAATGGGAAGAAAACTCCAAACTCGACTTCCTGGTTTACCCGAACGACTTGAGCCAGCATTGCCCAGCCATCAGAACTTTAAGGCGAGAGATGCCGCAAACAAGTTACAGCAGGCAAAGAACTACAATCGTTGGCATAGTTCAAGTCCTCTGACTCCCTTGAAGTTGGGGGAGGACGTGTGGGTTAAGGACGTCAATTGTCGAGGCCGTATACTCAGCCCCGCTCAGCGACCACGGTCATATGTGGTGGAAACGCCCAGGGGCACTCTGCAGCGAAACCGTCAGCATCTTGTCCCCTTCTCAAACGGCCAAGCAGAAGAAGAACCGTCGGCTAGTTCACAGCAGTCTATGCCTGTTGAGGGTCAACGAGTATCATCGCAAGAGCCTCAGCAAGAAGGACTTCGGCTGAGACGCACACACGTCGCGGTCGTGAGATTCGACCGCCAAGGCGATTGGACTTATAGATCTTAAGAGGGGAGATGTAGTGGGCGCTACTGAAGTGATGGTGTTTTTTCTTATTGCTCACCAGAGGACACCATCATTTATAGAAGATTATATAAGGAGCGGCGCGTGAGATTAAAGGTTTTTGGTTGTGGTCACGAGCTGGGCTGCTGTCACTTGGCCGTCGTCCGTTTTGAACGTTCCGAACAGCATCTTCCTCGCTTCTGGAGCGATTCTTCGCTGAAACCTCACCGAGGTATGTCAATCACCCGGAGAAATGCGGACGCTGCCAATGGCCACTCGACTTCGCTATGACGTCTGACCTTCGAGGAGGAGCGAGCTTTTGGAGGAGTCTGATTTTCGGCCGATTCTGTATCCGGGCCAAAGCCAAAAGAAAACAAACAAACATGGCGAACGACAAGCGGGGAAGCGGTCAGTATGGGCGACGAGTCTTGGTCCTACTTGGTTGCAAGTGTGTGAATGGCGGTTTAGCAGTACGGGTTGTTGGCGCGGTGAAGATTCGTCAACAGTCGTGAAAAGTGCAAGCACCGCATATAAACATGATGATTGGGGATAACTTTCTTTATTAACGGTACAAATATGTGCGAAATGCTTCGAGATCATCTGCCTGTTTTTTGATGTTCGCGGTCTTTCACGGGTTCGGCAGGACTACTGAACCCAGTGAGCCGAATCTTACGAAGTTCATTGAGTGGGATTAATAAAACAGACAGTCTCTTCACACTGTGCATACTTCATATCATTTTGATGCGAAACGCTTGGTATTCTTGGTGCAGATGACCAGGTTTGGCGAAATTCTCGTGAGTCAATACGTCACCGGTTTCGCGCAACAAATTCCACGTGTGATCAGGCCGATTTTGCGAAATCTTGGTTTCGCTAAACTCTGGCACATCAAAAAGACGCATCGTATGAATAAGCCTTTAGTCACGCGTGTGGACCGAACCAACAATGTCGTGCACGCTACGCACTTGAGATGAGCCGTTGCCACTTCGTCGATTTCTTCATTGCCGCTGAAGAGGCTGCACTGATTCACCAGATGCGTGGCACACTCCAGGTGTTTTGTGGCCTCGGTTACTTGGTCCTGCGGAGAGAAAAAAAAACAAGAGCCGCCACTGATCAACGAACGAGGTGCCACGGCGCCTCTAGTTTTCAGGTCTATTGGATTACACATATAAAGTGAGAGTTTGATTATTATGGGATTGTTGTTGTTTGTTTGTTTCCTGGGGGGTCGGCCAGGGGGGCTATGTTCGACAAATGCTTCGTTTCTCCTAAAAAGAAATGAAACCAATCAGACGCGATATCGTCACTTCCATTTCTTTTTAGGAGAAACGAAACTTTTGTCGGACATAGCCACCCAGCAGACGCTCTCGCGTACGGGCTATCGCCTATCTGCTTCGCCTCGCACGCCCCCCAGGAGACAGTTCGCTCTTTGTGCTAATAAAGGTTATTATTATTATTATTGCCCAGATCAAAAGAAGGCGCGCGGAAGCGGGAAGATACTGCCCAATATTGGAGTTTTAAAGACGCAAACAAAGCCCGGAGCGCAAGTGTCACCGCAAGTTCGTCGTCTTTTTCGGTATAACCGAACAAAGAGTATAAGCGGTTTTGTACCTGATAGGTCTTGTTGTTCGCACTCTCCGAAGACTTTTCGATAATTGAAAATTCTCTGAAACCTTTGTCAAAATGCTCATTTAAACTGCTAAGATCGCTCGCATCACCCGCATCGTCCGCCATGTTGACGAACGTTGCGCCACCTGGCCAGATCTGGCGTTGCAGTGTACAGTGCCCTTTTTGTGGATCGAGCGAGCAAATACAATCGAAATCATTGCCGCCGCAATTGCATTATTGCTGCGCAAAGTAAAATTTAATATACGGTGCTTTTAGCCCCCACTTAGATCGCTCACTTGTCTGTTGCTCTTGGTCAGCATCATTACCCAGCGACCCAGCGCTGGCCAATGGTGTAGTGAGGTCGAGGAGGCGCGAGCCAGAAGCGAAGTGCGAGGTCGGGTAAAGTCGTTAAAATGGCCGCCTCCAAGGAATCGATTCTTTTGATTCGTGGAGTTCTGAGAGAATTACGGAAAGCATTCCCGGGGGTACGTAGACACTTTCTTTTTTTTTTTTTTTCTTTCATTATGAAAACGCGAGTCTGGACGCTGACGTACGGTAGTCGCTTCTCTTCATGACGCTGTTTTGAACCCGTGCGTTCACTTGCAATTCGTTCCCGACCCGGGCCGATGCCGCGCGTCTGAAAAGTGCGCATGGCGTATTTTTGCGGCACTTTCCAACCCGTTCCCCACGCTACTATTACACGACGAAGTAAGTTGGGTATGAGTATCGGAAGAAACACCTCAAAAGTAAGTGAGAGTCGTTATGACCGGTGTTCGGGTGGAGCCGTTATGTAACATTCCTCCACGTCTAGGCTGGGTTAATACCTACATTGTACGTACAGTACATAACTTCAGGCACTGGTAGTGTTAAAAAAATGTTGTTTGTTTTATTCTTTAGACGGTTGTCTAACAACACGAAAGGCTCGCTGAGAGCGTGCGGCCGAGGCAGGCGCGGTTTGGCGATGCCCGTGTCATTCTTTGGTGAATGAACGAGCTCGTCAAAGCAGATTCATCTTCATTGGATCGCTTCACTTTCCCTCCTGTGACAAATGGAACCTGGCTTTTCTTTCTTTTTATGTATAGCAGCCATGCAAGCAATGCCTTCACCTAGCGGTTGATTCCCGCACTTTTGTTTGTAGAAGCACATGAGCCAACGTCCTGTTTTGGGGAGGGAACTGGAAAAAGTAGTATTTGATAGAGTGGTCCCAGTAAAGATTGTTTCATAAAAGTGATACTTGAGAAAGTGGCCCCAGAAAAAGCAGCCTCTGAAAAGTGGTCCCAGAGGTTATGGTCTGTGTTCTACGTGGGAAAAAATGGCCCCAAAGAGAGCTGTTATAAGGGCTCGATGCAGCACAGGCGGAGAAATTGCTTTCTGCCACCATCATTGTGGCTGAAGTCACGATTTAAGGCACGTGCCGTGTATGGATAGCCGCGCTGTGGTCGCTTCGAAAATGAGCTGATGATGCGGATAAGCTTTGGAGATGAGCATTGATTTCCTCTCAGCCGTCGTAGGGGGTCGATGGAAGAAACAGACTATTTGTATTGTCTGGTCGTTGTGCCAAGGATTTCTGGGTTGAGCAGCATTAACGGATGCAGAGTACTCCTCTGCACCAACTAGTTTCTGACAGGGGGCTCATGCTCTACTCCCTGTCTCGCCTTTTAGGTTAAATGAGCTGTGCAACAATTTCAGGGCATTGCTTAAATAATTGTGGAAGTTGATGCTTGACACTTCTGAAGTGAACTACAGAAAACAGATTTTGCCTGGATACCGTAGTTTTAGTTTAAAAAAAATGAAAAAAAATCCGTTTTTGTTGCCTCTCAACTCGTACGTCGTCTTCCGGGTCACGTGCGCAGTGACGTTGATGGGGTAGGCGCGGGGTTCCGGAAAAGTTCTCTCTTTAGAGCAATCAGTGAGCAGCGAGAACTCATCCGCTCGTGACCGCGTGACCACGTGCTGGCGGGTGTCACGCGAACAATATGGTGAAAGGAGGAAAGTCTCATCCGGGTCCGGCCATACCCGTCTGGCCCTGTCCCCCTCCCCCTTTGGCTTCTGGCGGCTGTTCGCGGTAGCAGAGAGAGCTGACGGTTTTGTGGACCTAGGATAGATAGCGCCACTAAAACTCCATATAATAACAGTTTTGTCGATGATACCAGGTTTTCGACGCATTCATATATATGTTTGAACGACAAGATTTATAGAAAAGTTACCTTTTATCGAGCAGGTATTCGCACAACTTGCTATCTTTCTACAAGATTCCCCATTGACGTCACACCGCGTGTTTCTCATGGCCGCCGCTCGCGGTTGCAGGTTTGGGAATATTCTAAGTTTTGCCTTGCTATTACGCGGCGGAATCTCAACACTTCGATAAAAAGAGGTGTGTTTCTGTCATTTGTGACAAGGTGAACAATATCAAAAGCAGAAGATGCCAATTCTTTCAGCGTTAATATCGTTGCACAACTCCTTTAATAGCTTGCCAACATGCCATTGGAGTGAGAGGACGTTCCCTAAATTTCGCGATGTTCATGTTCAAAATTGTAGCCCATTTTCGGGGACCAAGCACGACGTTCTTGAGTTTGAATGTTTTTCGTAATGCTTACCACTACCAATGTTTATGGGGGAGGTTATCCAAATTGAAAATAATGATTTCGTTTTCTCGCTGCTGACACCGCATGAATCCGATTCTCCTTTTGCGTTTGTTGTTTCGATCTTGCAGTCAGAAACGGGAATGGCTGCCAGTGCATACGACTAGCTTGTGATCTTACCTTGTCTCAAGCAGGAGTATTGAAAATAGGAGTCTTCAGTACTCCTTTGTCTTTTGCAGGAGTGCAGAAGACAGATGAGGACATAAAGAAGACAGTAGCGTGCTTTATATTGAGTATCAAACCAACTAGTCCACGTTAATATCCTAGCTCAAGCAGGAGGTCGTCCTTAACCTCCATTATCTAGTGAAGTATGTTACTGGACTACTTGGTGCATCTTTAGGTACAAAATAATAATGTGGAGAAGAGACAAGGGAATGCTGTGCAGGACATTAACTCTTCCTTTAGCACGTCATCACTCAGTTGGCCGGCTTTCCGAGGAATATAATTTCGCCCGTTACGACTGCAAAGCTTCTTGATGTGACGCTTCTTCGAAGAGCCGTCCACAAACACATATATATATATATATATATGGAGATATAAGAACATTTAAACAAGCACAATGACTGTTGGCAATGTGTCGATAGTCGCGACTATAAGAAACTGACCGGTGAGAACACCATGCAACGTGCAGCAAGAGCGGCAGGCAGGAGTGCACCTCGCAGATCTGTATGCATGCCGTGAACCCAACGCTAGAATCTCGCCGAGTCGCGGCATCATGCGAACACTTCCTATGGGTGGCTTGCACCAACGTCAGCTCGGTGACCATTGTGGGGGCCCTGCTGCTGAGTGCTTACCTTCTGCCGCATACATTTCCCATCACCGAGTTTGTTTTCCTCGGCAAGAACAAGTAGGAGTGACAACCAGCATGAAGCAGTGATATCACATGCAAGCCATGTGTACTAATGCTCCATCGCTTCACCAGAAGTTAGTCTGTACTTGTGTCCTTCATATTTTTGAAGAGAGAGGGGAAGGAGGCTGCACTTTAGTCGAGACAACTAAAGAAAAATCGTCACCGTTGAGGCTTGCTTCTTCCACTTAATAATGACCGGGGTGGAACGGCTGCGCCATTTTGCACCAGACGCATTTGTCTGCACCATCCTGCGCCATATTGCGGAAACTGCACCACAGCCAATATGAAATCGCAAAACATGCGCCAAAAAAATTGTATATTGTCTTGGTTTTGGTTTCTGTCAACTGGATTGGCAACAATGAGCTTTTTTTAGCTTGGTTGGCTTTGCAAGCCTTTCTTCTGTTTATTTTCCCTGTGTATCCCGAGTCAGAAGCGCGTGAAAAAACTCCCGGGTCGGATTCTGAGCGCTACATCGCATACGACTTGATAGTTGTCTTGAAGACTTCAACCATAAGCGGTTAAGCAAGTCGGCCGAGGTGAGATCAAGTCGTTCAGAGTCAGATTGCCTGAGGCTCTGCAGCCCGGGATCCGGATGTCAGCCAATTGAAAACAAATGAGCGAAAGATTCCTTTGAGTACTTCTTCGTCACAAGCTATAGATGCATTTTCGAGTTCCTTGGAAATCCAATACCTGATAAGTTCCAACCATTTCTGAAGTTGGAACCGCATTCCCGCAAGATAAGTCGTGATTTAATAGAACTGAAAACGCGGTCCGATCCGAAACCTTGCCGGCCAGCAGCTGTCACACGAGTGGTAGATCTTTGGGCGTGCATTGCTCCTGCTTATCGCTTCGAATACGGTAACTCCGGTAATCGTAGTCTGCTGCTTCAATATTGAATTGCACAATAGATTAAACTCAATATTTTTTGCCCTGTTTCTCAGTGCAACTGCACGCCCGTTGCTTACGCACGTCACATGGTTCGCACATATAATTACTATGTCGAGCATGCGTGGGTTGTGCGACAAGCAGTGCTAGTTTGCATTTTGAGCAGCTGAAAGCCACTCAGAAAATATCAAGTACACTGTTTTCAGTAATATGTGGTACTTGCTTTTTGGTTCTCATTAAGGTTCACAAAGTTTCAAGATTTTACATCTGTTTCACTGTTGCCCATCTACCTGTAGCCGGTAACAAGTCAAGAACGAAGTGGAAGCTCTTCCCACCTCTTTCCACTTTAATAGAGCGAACGCTAGAGAGGAGGTGACCTCCTCTCCACCGTTCGCTCCGCTGAGTCCGAGACCCAAGCTGAAGTGCAATAAAAACTGATCTGAGCCGCTCCTAGCCTGCTCCAGAATGTAGTTTTAGCTGCTCCCAACCTGTTCCAAAACAGCTGTTTCAGCTGCTCCCATGGCTGCTCCAAAGTACATTTCATGAGTTCCACCCAGGCACGTAGCCAAGGCCCGGCGCTCCCCCCCCCCCCCCCCCCCCCCCCTTTGAAACAAAATCCTGGCTATGTGCCTGGTTCCACCCCTGTAATAATGATAACGTCTAACCTCCTCCATCCAGCAGCCAGGCACGTTTCCGACTCTTGTCAAATACATGAGGAACTCGGTTTAAGTGTTCGAAGAGCCCTGCGCTATCGTAATCTTGAATCACAAGTGCCAGCCACGGCCGGTCAGTTCAATCACATCGGAACACGCTAGGTTGATTAGTGCTCGCAGCAGGCTTGCTATATGCCGACCTGTTGCACACTGATGTGTTATAACAGCAGATCTCTTATCTGGCCAGTTGGTTACTCTTCCGACATCTGCTCACATCTACGACAAAAATGGCATTGGCAATAAGCTGACAAAAAAATTGTGTAGTTGCTAAGTGATTGTCATACTTTCAAGTACCGTTATCAAAGAACACCAAGGAATGCAGATATTATATATTAATGTAAATGTTGCAAGTCGAAATCGGGCCAGGACTTGCCACCTTGCTACGTCACTGTGTC